AAAAAAAAAAAAATGTTCCGCATATTTTAAGAAACCCCAGTAAGTACAAGTTAAAAAGTTAGTAACAGTGGCGGCCTCAAAGGAGGGTCGTCACAGCCCATAAGAAGTAAAAGACAAGAAAATAAAAAACAGAAACCATTCCATATAAGGTATGGTATCTGTAAAGAAGAATGAAAAGAATGAGAAACACAAAATGAAAGTCGTTCAGGTTGTGAAAACACAATGTGAATGACTAAAATGAGACGAAAGCAGAACAAAGAATGTAATGAAAGAAGAAGAACATAAGTCATACATGTTTTAGTAGTATAGAATGTATTATGATATATAATATGAATGCATATATGGGTATGCATAATTATTGCATCTGTTATGACCTATTGATACTTGTTGAGCGAAAGCTCATTAAGTTTGTTCGTGTTGTACGAAGCTCGGGTAAGGCACCGGTTTCCTAAAACTTGTTGATGGGCATGCAAAGAGGATGTAGCAGCGGAGTATGGGCAAGTGGGTTGTGGATGCATCACATGTTTTTGGAAACGCTGTTAAACCTTATGTGTAAAAAGTAAATAGTATTTTATGAATATAAATGAGTTATGTAACGAAAGTTAAGCTTACAAGACAGTGAGGCTATACATAGCAACCTCTAGTCACAAAGTATGACTAATGTAACAGAATACTGTCAGAATGCTACAACATTTTATAAATAGTTGAAAACAGAATGCTAGCTAAAGGCTACAACATTTGGACATACATAGTAAGAAAAAAAAAATTAGCTTGAATTTTTAAGAGGTTATAACTAGTAAGCAGTAGAGGTTAAGTATGAATATAGGATGATGATCAAAAGTTAGGGTCGTCACATTGTGGTTGTATCAAGAGACCTTATTTGAGAGATATCATTGAAATAAGTTGTAATTATTTTCTTATTTTCTTTCTAGGTTAAAAGTTGAAAAAGAAGAATTTGCCTCATGTGAGCTGGTACATTTCTAGAACGAGAAATGTGACAACAAGAGAGCCACCATCTACTCTAACTAGGTAGTAACAAAGAAATTTAAAGGCTTTAAAAGCTAGTATCAAGGCTTATCCACAATGGTTATAGAATCCAAAGATTCTTTTTATGTTTGGAGGATGTCAAAGAAACAAAAGCAAAGAAATATAACCTTAAAGCAAGAGACTGTTCGTGAGCTGAACACAAAATTATGGCAGTAAATCTCAAGTTGCACGTCTCAGCTTCTTGCGTTTTCTCCCTTTAGCTTTGGTCAAAACCACAAAATCCACAACCTTGAAAAACCATTCACGCTTGTCCATTGCAAGAGCGTGCTCTATGGCCACTCCAAATATCAATCCGCCAACAAATCCCGGTAGAATTGTAATCCAATTAGACTTGAACCAAGACTTTGAATCTTCATCATCATCTTCATCAGAACCTGAATCTGAAGGCGGCAGCGCTTTAGGAGTATTGAGACTTTCCAATGGATAACCCCATAATCCTGCATTTCCCTTGTACGAGCTACTGTCAAACGTAGAGAATTGACTCCCTTGCGGTATTGGTCCCCTGAGAGGGTTGAAAGATACATTGAATGATGCAAGGAATGTGAGCTGCACCAGTTGCTGAGGGATTTTCCCAGAGAGCTTGTTTACGGAAAGATCCAACGATTCGAGTTGGGTTAAGCTGGAGATTGACGAAGGGATACTGCCAGTAAGCATGTTGTTGGAAAGGCTAAGGACTTGGAGTCGTTGTAGTTCCCCCATACACTCTGGGATGTCACCATGGAATCTGTTGCTCGAAAGATCAATCACTGTGAAAACTTCTTGGACCCTTTCATATTGCATATCCTTGCCTTTGTTTTTAATGGTAACAGAGCAAGGATAAATAAACTCAAAGTCCCATAGTACTCCTGAATATTCGATCGTTATCCTTATGGTAGTAGCCAAATAAGATGAATTGCTAGCGCCAAGAGCCTTCATGGCAATCCATTTCTTGAAGTATTCAGATGGCAGAAAACTTGAAAAATTATTGTAGGACAGATCAATAATGTGTAAACTGGAGAAGTCGTAATCAGAATCAAAATTTCTTGTGATTGCACCATGGAACTTATTAGATCGTAATAGAAGTAGTTTGAGCTTCGGAAGAGTCCCCAACCAAGAAGGGAAGACATCATTGAAACGGTTGCTTTCGAGCTTGAGAACTTGAAGCTCCATGCAATCGGCCAACAGTGATTGTGGTAAACTCCCTTGAAATTGATTATAGCTCAAATCCATCACTTTTAGCCGGCTTCCAAATGGACACATTTGAGAAAATCCTGCACTAGAAAGGTTGTGCTTGATGTTTCTCAAACATTCTGGAAGCACACCGCTCAATTTGTTATGAGACAAGTTAAAACATTCAATGGAGCTCAAATTGAAATGTAGTAGCGAAATCTCTCCACTCAATTTATTATGTGAGGCATCAAAGAGAATAATAGATGGAGGAGGAATTGGTAGTCGTCCAGTAAACTTATTTTTTGAAAAATCCAATATGCGTAGACTACGAGAAGGGAGGACATCAATGCCAAAGCTTCTGAATAAGTTGGAAGATATGTCTAATAACTCCATGCGTGTGTTCCAGATCCACTTAGGTAATTTGCCATGTATATGATTTTCACTAAGATCCAATAGCTTTAGCCTATCTTGGTATCTTAAGATATCAGGAAAACTTGTTAAATTGCATGATCCCAAAAACAAAACTTCAAATTTGGGATGAGTTGAATTTATGTTTCCTGCAACACTCTTCTCCGTCATGAGCACCGACAAGTTGTTATCAGAGAGTCCAAGGTTGGTGAGATTTTTCATGTTAAGAAACATGTTAAAATCCACTGTCCCACTGAAATTATTCTTACTGAGATCAAGATATTCAAGCTTTATAAGTTTGCTAAGCGAAGATGGAAATGGGCCAGAAAACCTACAAATACGAAGATCCAACCCTCTTAGAGAGTCAAGGTTTCCAATTGAAGAGGGTATATGACCAAAGAAACCAGTACCGTCAAGCCATAATATTCTAAGAGGATTACTGGATCGAAATTCGGGAAGAGAACCTGTAAGGTTGTCGTTTTGTCCCAAGTCGAGAAGTTGTAAGTTTGGAAGTTGAAAGATATCAATAGGGAATTTACCGGATAGTCTACAAGCACGCAAAGAAAGGGATGTTAAAGCGGAGAAATTTGCCAAGAGACTAGGAACTGGGGAGGAGATGTCAACTTCACTAAGGTCAAGATGTTTTAAGTTACTCAAGTTCCTAACTATGGTACTTAAGTCAGGCCATTTCAATTCCAAGTAATTCCGACACAGATCAAGGTATGACAAATTGGAGAGTTGTGAGATTTGTGAGGGGATTTGGCCTGCGAAAGCAGACATAGAAAGATTGAGATACTTCAACCTTGAAAGATTGCCCAATTGAGAAGGGATTAGAGAGCCATTGAAATCATTAGCGGCAAGATCAAGGATTTGAAGATGAGAAAGACGAAAAAGAGTATTGTTGGAGTTGATGGAACCATGAAGGCAACTACTACTGAGATGAAGAGCTATTACATGAGTGTTGCTCTTGTCACACTCGACGCCGTCCCAAGAGCAACAATCAGCTTTCTCTTTTGGTGACCATGAAGCAACCTTCGGGTAAGCCAAAGGATCACTAGAAGCATCCCGACGTATGACAAAGCTGTTCTTAAATTCCAACAAGGCAGTGCTCTCATCCTTGTGGCAACGTGGCTGCACATACGAGAACAAGCAAGTTAGAATTAGAAGATGAATTAGCAGTGGAGCTGTGGAAAGAAAGGCCATGAAGATATTGGACTTGCAAAAGTGTGACTTCATTGGCGTTGTTTAATTATTCAAAGATGTGGTGTTTTTGATAATTGTAAAGGAGTTTGTGTCATCTGTAACTTAATTGTGTGTAATATATAAGAGAAAAACGCTGTATTGCTGCACATAACGACAGAAGTCATTTATCATTAATGGCCAATAGTAAACGTCTTGTCTTGAATAGTATAATATGTGGTTGAGTGGTCCAATTAATGGATAATATTTGGGTGGTACAAAATTTTGTATGGCCACTAGTAAACGTCTTGTCTTAAATGGTATAATGAGAAACATCTTGGAAATGTCTGGTTTGATTTGATTACATACTATTATACTTTTCTATAAAATATCATTTGCTTCGCATTTTCTCATTTTGATTTGATTTGATTTTAGTGTGATTATTTCTACAATATTGGTGGTCTAAATCAAGTAGGAAAAATTTAGGCGCATGACCACAATTTTGGACCTTTTGAGAGAATAAAATTTCTACTGAACTTTTTTGAAAATGTCCATGAATATTGGAAAGATATTAATTTTAACTATTTTTAAAAAAATATCACTTACTTTAGGCAAAATGCCATAAAATGGGGAAAAATCTGCATTCAACTTTTTAATTAATATTTTGATAAGAATTCCATGTCTCATTAATTTAGCTGAGCACAGTTCATAGTTTATTTTGCCAAGTTTCAAAACTTTTTATTTTGTGGGTGTAGACTAGTACTGATCCTACATTAATGTTCGCTAACTTTTTTTTAGCGCGTATGACTAATATATATATATATATATATATATATATTAGTCGTTAAGATACGAAAGAAGGATTGATCTCTACGGCTCTACCATTACTCTTAGAGTAATATCAATGATACCAACTTAAATCTCAATTTGTATGTATCAATTTATATAGCACGTGAGTTGTCATCTTTCAAGTGGTCTTATGTCATTTATTTTTCTAAAAAAATATAATAGTAAATTTCTCTACGTGTGTAAAATACTTCATACTCAAAACTTGACGAAAAAAATAGAGATAAAAAAGTAATAATATTTAAGTAATAAGTTAAAATAAGATTTTGGGTATAAAAAGAAAAATAAAGTGAGTAAGAATTGATAATACTATGATAATAATAAGGGATAATCTTAGAATTAGAGAGGTGTGTAAAAAGTAAATTTAATCATTTTAAATTTATGTTGGTGTGTATTTAGAAGGAGTGTGCAGAGAATAAAAAAAAGGGTGTAAATAGAATGACCTTCATTTAATTGCAATTGTGTTCTTCAAACAGCACCGTAACTTGTTCATATAGCCCACTAACTGATTATTTTGGTTCAAGTATTTTTTAAGGAATCGTGATAGAAAATTTTCTTTAAAAATTCAAAACATTACCGTTAGAACTCTGATTGAGATTTTTTTTTTCCTACGTGTTCATAGCGATGAACTGAATATCCCAAGATTGACTATCCTAGATGCAAATCAATCAAGATAAAGACCAATTTAAAAGGAAATTGTGGAAATTTAAAGAGATTAAGAGAAAGAAAGTGCAAACGTAATTTATAGTGGTTCGACAATATGCCTACATCCACTGTAGCCAAGAAAATCACCACTTGACCTCTTCCACTATTTTCAATCATCTTTTTAGTGATCACTCTAATACAAAGACTGTGACTTCTTCAATCCAAGGCTCACCACAATATCTTATAATTGCCAAACATTTACTGGACGTTCTCTCATAAAAGACCTCTTATATGTCGAAAAGTACGATATAGAGTCGTTTGGGCTCGTGTCTAACGGTTAGTTTTAACTAGCCGTTAGACATGTCCGGTTAACTGGATGGATACCAGAAGTATTGGTCCGGTTAACCGGACCTTTATAACGCAGCCAATAAAAGTGGCTTCTAGGCAGGCATAAAAATATTATTTTAACATAATTTTCAGTCACAAGCCTTCGTGCTTTTATAACAGTGTAAAGAAACCGTTATCATATCGTGGTACATTATTGAGATCTATGGCGACTGTTACTTGTTAGGTTACTATCATAAAGACATAATAGTCAAGAAGTCAATGGTCATTATATATAGCTATCACACCAAACCCAACTTGCCGCGCAATTCAAGCTTAATATTAAAAACTAAAGACTGATTCCAACACAAAAGAACAAGAAAATATGACTAAGAAAGTAATAATCATTGTTTAAGAACCATGCATGCAACTCCAAAATTACATATAATAATTCTTCGTACGCTTCCTCGGCCTCGGGTCCTAGCTAGCTCCGCCCTTCTAGGTTCAACATCGTAGTGTTATCAATTGGTGGTACATTATTGGGATCTATGGCCACTGTTACTTGTTAGGTCACCATTACAAAGACAGAATAGTCAAGAAGTTAATGGTCATTATATATAGCTATCACATCAAGCCCAACTTGCCGTGCAATTCAACCATGCATACAAGTCCAAAATTATATCTAATAATTCTTCATGCATTTTCTCGGCCTCGGGTCCCACCTAGCTCCACCCCTTTTGGTTCAACATCGTAGTGTTATCATATGGTGGTGCATTATTAGGATCTATGGTGACTGTAACTTGTTAGGTCACTATTATAAAGACATAATAGTCAAGAAGTTAATGGTCATTATTAAAAATCAGAGACTGCTACCAACACAAAAGAGCAAGAGAACACGACTAAGAAAGTAATAATCATTGTTTATGAACCATGCATGCAACTCCAAGGCCTCGTTCAGTTTACTAATTCAAATTTTTAATTCAAGTTCGGACGTGACATTATGTGACAGCTTTTAACTGTAGCAGAAAAAAGTTAGATGTGACTTTTTGAGAGCTTTTAACTGTAGTAAAATCGAAATTTAAAACTCTAATTAGTGAAATGAACGAGGCCTAAAATTACATCTAATAATTCTTTACGCACTTCCTCAGCCTCAGGTCCTAGCTAGCTCCGCCCCTTTCGGTGAATGGTCAATAGCTATCAACGTCATAGTGTTACTAGGAATTTCCTTCACGAGAAATGACAAATATAGGTTTTAAAACCAAAGTACAAAAATTCTTATAGTTATTTTTATTACTTCATACTGACTTTTGAGAATTTACTTAGTTGACAGAAAATTTTAGTTCCCGACTTTGTCAACTTCTGAACTCATATTGCATCTGAATTTCTTTACTGACACACTACCCCTTTAATTTTCTTTTATCTATTTGGAAATTAAGGGGTTTCTCTTTAAATGTAAGATCGTTTCTCTATACGCTGCTGACATTATATTGCACTAAGAGATTCTTGGAATTAAGATTCTCAAACTATATATGCACAGAGAATTCTTCCGCCTTAATTGCTGTAAGAATTTGTGAACTGATTAAATTATGAACTCATCATAAAACTTGATACAGAATTTAAGAATACTGATATTAATTTCATAAATCCTTCAGTCGTAAAATATGACAGTATATTACTGAGAAAAGTCCTTGAATTAAATAAATAAATTTACATTATTTAATTTTAGGATTTTCTCAGTCATTACACATATCATGATACAATATTGGGATCTATGGTGACTGTTACTTGTTAAGTCACTATCATAAAGACGTAATAGTCAAGAAGTCAATGGTCATTATATATAGCTATCACACCAAACCCAACTTGCCGTCCAATTCAAGCTTGATATTAAAAACCAAAGACTAGTTCCAAGATAAAAGAACAAGAAAATACGACCAAGAAAGTAATAATCATTGTTTAAGAACCATGCATGCAACTCAAAAATTACACCTAATTATTCTTCATGCGCTTCTTCAGCCTCGAGTACTAGTTAGCTCTGCTCCTTTCAGTTCAACATCGTAGTGTTATCATAAGGTGGTAAATTATTGGGATCTATGGCGACTGTTACTTGTTAGGTCACTATTATAAAGACATAATGGTCAAGAAGTTAATGGTCATTATATATAGCTATCACATCAAGCCCAACTTGCCATGCAATTCAAGCTTGATATTAAAAACTAAAGATTGGTTCCAACACAAAACAACAAAAAAACACAACTAAGAAAGTAATAATCATTGTTTAAGAACCATGCATGCAACTCTAAAATTACATCTAATAATTCTTCATGCGCTTCCTCGGCCTTGGATCCCAGCTAGCTCCGCCCCTTTCGGTTCAACATCGTAGTGTTATCATTTGGTGGTATTATTGGGATCTATAACGACTGTTACTTGTTAGGTCATTATTATAAAGACATAATAGTCAAGAATATAATGGTCATTATATATAGCTATCACATTAAGCCCAACTAGCCATGCAATGCAAGCTTGATATTAAAAACCAAAGACTGGTTCCAACACAAAAAAACAAGAAAGCACGACTAAGAAAGTAATAATCATTGTTTAAGAACCATGTATGCAACTCTAAAATTACATCTAATAATTCTTCATCCGCTTCGTTGGCCTTGGGTCCCAGCTAGCTCCGCCCCTTTCGGTTCAACATCGTAGTATTATCATATGGTGGTAGATTATTGGGATCTATGGCGACTGTTACTTGTTAAGTCACAATTATAAAGACATAATAATCAAGAAGTTAATGGTCATTATTAAAAACCAGAGACTGGTTCCAACACAAAAGAACAAGAGAACGCGACTAAGAAAGCAATAATCATTGTTTAAGAACCATGCATGCAACTCCAAGGCCTCGTTCAGTTCGCCGATTCTTTATGTGAGAACTTTTAACTATAGTAAAAAAAAAATTAGATGTAACTTTTTGTGAGAGCTTTTAACTGTAGAAAAATTAGAATTAAAAACTCAAATTAATAAAATGAACGAGGCCCAAAATTACATCTAATAATTCTTCACACACTTCCTCAGCCTCAGGTCTCAGCTAGCTCCGCCCCTTTCAGTGAATGGTCAATAGCTATCAACATCGTAGTGTTACTAGGAATTTCACTCAGGAGAAATGACAAATATAGGTTTTAAAAGCACAAAAAATCCGTACAAGTACACGTTCTAAGACTTTGGCGTACGTTCTATGTTCATTAGTAAAATATTAGTAATGGTCATTATCATTAT